AACATTTTCTCATGTTTGTTGGCCATTCGGATTTCTGCCTCTGTGAAACTTCTGTTCAAGTCCTTTGCCCACCTCTCAAGTGGGCAATTAGTTTTTTTCTTTTTGGAAGCTAGCAGAGTATTGTAGATTTTAATAATAAGGCCTTTGTCTGAGGTGTCATTACTAAAGATGTTTTCCCAGTCCGTGAACTCTCTTATTACTCTCTTGGTGAATTCTTTCGATGTACACAAGTGTTTTATCTTCAGTATATCCCATTTGTTAATTTGTGCCTCCTCTGTGTTTGTGTCCTTCCCTATTTCTGGTAGCCTATGTGCCCTGTGCCAAAGTTCTCAAGTTGGTCCCAATTCCCTCATTGATGGCCCTAATCGTATTTTCTAAACATCGACTTTCTATTTGAGCCCTTGGTATCAGGTCCTCTTTTTTTTTTTTCCCCTCCAGCCCTTGTGAACGCTTGATAAAATCTAAATTATTCATGTTTCCATATCTCACACCAACTGCTGTGTCCCTTCACCCATGTTTCTGTTGTTCATCCCCTCCCCCCACCATGGGGATTATGTGTTGATCATTGTGATTGATTCCTCCTTCCTTCCCCCCGCCCCCCTTACCCTCCTGGTATCGCTACTCCCATTTCTGTTCCTGAGCTCTTACCTGTACCAGTGTGAATGCTATGGTCTAACCAGAACTGAAAGGCAGGACTGGGGTCATGATAGTGGGGGGTAAGGAAGCCTCAAAGAACTATGCTCAATTTTTAGATTGTAGGCATTCCTTGGGTTATAAATGAGATCCATTCCTAAGTCTCTCTTTAAGTCAGTTCAATATTTATCCTAGTACATAATGTATATTTTACCTTTTAAAAAATATCTTACCTTTTTATGCATATAAACACTTAAAAACATTCCAAGTGCACTGAAACGTAATGCTACGATACATCGTGCTACAGTGATGGTAAAAGCAGCCGCATTGCGTGCTGTACTGGAGAGAGAACAGGATCAGTGTGTACAGCACTGTGACCAGCATAAGGAAACCACCTGGAAGAAAATACTCTAAAGTTGATTGTGTGATAATTGTACAACTCTTCTTGATATGATTGAAATATTAAACTGTGCAATATGTGGATTAAGTGCAAATAAAACTTAAAAAACCCAGTTCTTAAAATTGTTTAGAGAAGTGGAGGAAAGGGAAAGATATCATGATTACAGGTTCACACAGTTACTCCCAGTCACTGATGCCCTGCCCAGTGGATGGGGCATCCGTGAGGCATCAGTAAGATAGCAGAATCATTAGCTGAGGGTGCAGAGGTGGCTGCTATGGGAGTTAAGGGGCCTAGGGTTGGGGAGGGTGAGCCTGGTGCAGGAGAGTCAGAGTTTGATTCTGTTGCCAGAGAGGAGTGATTTGCTAGTGGAGGCAGTTTCTTGAAGGGGCATAAAGGGAGGTTTGTACAGAGCTTGCCTCGCAGCAGTAGCAGCTGAGGCCCTCGGTAACTGGCGCCATTGGTGACCCTCTGACTTTGCCACGATCCCATCACATTGTATTTTGATCCCCGATATTTTCCCTAAACTCTTGGGGTCAGGTGTGCTTGGTAATTGACTTTTTTCTAGATTTTAGAAAGGCGTGCAGATTTCCTGTGTATCCACTCGGAAGCACCCCGAGGGGTGATGGGGAGGACTCTGTAGTCCAGCCCGTGGATATTTGGGTAGCGAAACATCCTAACAGATCTTTGAAATTAAGTGAAAAAACAAAATACAAATCCTTGTGTCAATTCAAATCAAGATTGTCGACTAAATAACTTACCAAGTTAGGGAAAATCTTCCAGTGTGAAGAGCCTTTTGGATTTTCAGTCAAGGGAGGGGCGGGCAGGTGTCTGTTTATCCTGCTGAACTGGAACAAGTCAGTCTGACCCAGCAGAGAAAGCATTCTCTCACTGCTGATTCTAGGGGTGGTCTGCTTGTCTTTTGAAGCTCAAAAGGAAGTGGGGATTTCTTTGTAAACCTACTTTAATGCTCCCCCACACACACTATCATGACCCCAATTCAACCTTACAAATCTTGCTAGATCAGAGCATGTATGCTGCTACAGATAAGAGCTGTAAACACAGAGAATCCAGGACAGATAAACCCCTCATCAGGACCAATATTGAGAGTAGCCATACTAGGAGGGGAAGGTAGGGGGAGAGAGGGGGAACCGATCACAGTCATCTACCTAGAACCCCCTCCCAGGGGATGGACAACAGAAAAGTGGGTGAAGGGAGACATCGGTGAGTGTAAGAAATGAAAAAGATAATAATTTATAAATTATCAAGAGTTCATGAGAGAGGGGAGGGAGGGGAAAAATGAGAAGCTTGTACCAAGGGCTCAAGTAGAAAGAAAACATTTTGAAAATGATGACAACAAATGTACAAATGTGCTCGACACAATGGATGGATGGATAGATTGTGATAAAAGCTGTAAGAGCCCCCAATAAAATGATTTTAAAAAACCAAACAAACAGAAATAGTGGGGTTTTTTTCTGTAATAACTTTCTGTAATACTTTTTATTTTTCAGAGTTGCTACCTTTTCCGATATTAAATTGCACCTTGAATGAGGAAATCATCAGAGTCCAGTGTGTGATCCCGAAGCATTACACCAGTCACCTGGGCTTTATACAGTACTTCTGGGCTTGCCCTTCAGCACAGTGTAATGAGACCGTGGGGCATGAACTACATTTCAATAAGAGTCATCTTCCAAAGGAAGTGTGGTGTACTGTCAGCAATCCCGTATCCAACATGAGCTCATCAATGGCTTTGGAAAGCTGTGTGCCAAAGGGTGAGTAAAGAACTGCGTGGTCGTGACAGAGGTGCTAGATACAGACGGGGTGCATGGACCAGAGGCGATGTGGGTGGGTTTCAGATCACCCTGGAGGCTAACACACTTTCCACGAGGCGTAAGAGAAGTTACAACTTTCACAGAAAGGGCATTGCTATATGTAGCATTTTTTTTTAGCATTCTGTGCCAAGCACAATTCTACTACAGGGCTCCATTTCCTCCTCAGGCAGCCCTCTGGTTTGTGTACCAGTCATCATCCCTAGCTCATAGGGCAGCGGTTCTCAACCTGTGGGTCTCAACCCCTATGGGGGTAAAGCGACCCTTTCACAGGGGTCACCTAAGACCATCGGAAAACACATTTCCAATGGTCTTAGGAACTGAGACACCGCTCCTCTGTCATCTCCAGGCGGGTCTGCCCACATGCAGATACCCATGCTACACCATGCTTCACGACAAAATTTCATTGATTTTTGTCAGTAGAAATAAATATTTCACAATATAGAATGACATTTTTGTTTTGTGATTCATCACTGTGCTTTAAGTATGTTCAATTTGTAACAACGAAAGTACATTCTGCATATCAGAAATTTACATTATGATTCATAACAGTAGCAAAATTACAGTTATGAAGTAGCAACGAGAATAATTTGATGGTTGGGGGTCCCCACAACCTGAGGAACTGTATGAAAGGGTTGCAGCACCAGGAAGGTGGAGAACCACCTGGTGGGGAAGCCACAGCGCAGGGAGCTCAGCTTCCTTGTCTGAGGTCTGTTGCGCTAAAGTGGCAGGACCCGGGGTTCACGGCAGCCACTTGGGCTCCAGAGCCTAACCCCTGATGTGTTTTCAAGGGTGCTTGATTATAGCTTTAATTGTCATTTCGTTCCTCAGGGTGGCACGGTTGAGAGCACTGGACAGCACATTGGCAAGCAGGCTTAGGCTGCTCCCTCCCTGGGTACCGTGGCGGTGTCCTGACGCCGCCCTTTTTATGCTCACTATCGTTTGCACTGGTTTGACCTGTTTTACATTCTCTCCCCAGTTTACAAACAAGCCTCCGTTAGTTCACGAACAGAGAAAAGAGATGAAAATGGTAAATATAATAATTCAGAATCATCTCCTAAGTGTGGCTAATGAGCTTGGTTCCGGGCAGATAGACAGAATCAGCCTCTCTGGGCTGGGAGGGGCAAGTCTGTGGAGTAGCCTGTTGTGCACAAGAAGCTGAGAGGGAACAGGGAAATCAGTCCATCACAGGTGTAGAGAAGGTCAAACCAAAGGGCCGGGGGTGGGGGTGGGGGTGGAAGGTTCTGTTTTCCTTTGTTGGGACTTTCAAGAAGCAAAATTTTATTTTCTCACAGGAGGCTAGAAAAACAAACCCTAGGAATCCCACTAGAGTGGGATGTCGTGGCCCCTGGGACTCCATTTGGCTGCTCAGCCATTCTCCCCAAGCCCCCGGGGCGGTGCCCCAGTCACGACTTTTCAGATCATGACATAAAGTCGTTATTTCAAGCATAGCAGATTTGTCCAGAACAAGTGTAAAATGAGTCCCAGCGTGTAACTGGTGGATCTGGTCCCCAAAGACCGAGGAAAGACCCCATCCACAGAGGGGCACTCGGCGGTTGGACCCTTTGTACCGGGCACAGGCACACTTGCCAAGAAGGTTAAAATGCCGGACACACAGGAAAGGACGGCTGTTAAACCCCAAGGTTCTGCAGAACGAGGTCTGGGCAAAAATCCCTCCACGAAATGCCATGGACTGGGGGTTGCCCTGGTACCCGAGGTTGCGTAATTCCACGGCGCAAACCACGGAGCTACAGTTGGTCCTCTGCCACGGGGAAACCCATCAACAACAAATCGAACAGCACCCATTGCTTTTGGCGTGCCTGTGGTGTTATTTGGTGCACAGAACCAGCAAAGGAACAAAATGGGTCACCACTTAACAGAAAGAACAAGCAAGCTGGGAACCTGAAAAGCTTCAGGTATTCCAAGAGGCAAACTAGCTGAACAACTTCTGAATCATATTCTCCCTAGTGTGGCACTCGTAAAGGGCCATTACATGGTGCGGTCCAGGGGATTTTTGGGAGGTTTTGACCCTGGGTCGTTTTCACCCTTCCATCATCTTTCAGATGGGATGCTCATGTCAGCTCCCTGCTCTAGGACCCTGGTTAGAGGTGACCACAGTGGCAATCCTGCCATTGAGAGGAAATCATTGTTACTGGTTTGAAAGTAAACCCTTTGGTCGTTAAATAATAGTAATTTACCCTTTAAACAATTTCCCCGTAATCCATAGCTGTAAGTGTCTGAGAAACATCACGCGATCGTCCTCGGCATTTAGAGCCTGAAGTCCTGTTGACACGTGGGAGAACCCTGAGATCCCATCCTTGGTTTCCACTAAACAAATATTGAGGAACTTTTTTTCTTTCTGCAACACCAGAGGCCGGAACTTAATGATCTAACTTATTATGTCCAGCAGTAAATCCTCTTTCCCAAACACACCGCCATCAAGTAGATTCTAACTCATCCATATTGGGCTGCTAACTGCAGGGTCAGCAGTTCAAAACTACCAGGGACAAGATGAAGCTGTCTGCTCCATGCAAAAGTTACAGTCTTGGGAACCCACAGAGGCAGTTCTACCCTGTTCGATAGGGTTGCTGTGAATAAAATCCTAGGACCCTTTTGCTCTCTGTGAGGAGTTTTGAGTTCATGGTATGGTGCTTCACACATCGTGAAAGCATTGCTGTTGAGTGGATTCCAACAGGAGAGGCCTGGCCCACAGGGTGGCCAAGGCCGACTTGAGCACCTTTGGGAAATCAGGCCACCGCATCTTGACAGCTGCTGGGCCAGACCTTTCATTGCTCAGACGAGTGCTTCACCACCGGGCCTCCTTGATGCCTCCTGCAATCAGACCCATGCCACTGAGTACACCCCGACTCCCCGGGACCCTGTAGCAGAGAGTAGACCTGCTGTCTGGGGTTTCTGAGACGGTGCATCTTGATGGCCCTGTAGGAAAGGGTAGACCTGCTGCCTGTGGTTTCTGAGACAGTGCATCTTTGGGGGAGCAGACAGCCTCACCTTTCTCCTGTGTTGTAGCTGGTGGGTTTGAATTGACACCCTTGTGGTTAGCAGCCTGTGGCTTAACCTACTACCATCCCATCAGGGATCCTCAAGCCACATAAACCCAACCCCCAACCCACTGCCAGCTCATCAATTCTGACTCACATCAGAGGACACAGTAGGATTACCTCTTTGGGGTTTTGAGGCTGTAAGCCTGCCTTGCAGGTAGAAGCCCATCTTGTTCACCTGGGCTCCTAGCGCCTCATGGCAGATGTGAAGGCGTCAGAGTAAGACTAGCCCTGACTTCTTCGGCTTCTACTTTTCTAATCCAGACGTTCTAGTGTTTTCCCGGCAAAGCATAGCGTGACAGGGCGCACACTGCTCTCCTTTGGACAAACCCTGCCAAAACACACGAGTCCTTTGCTCCCTCTCACCACCATTGGAGGTCGGCCACAGACCGGTGGTGTCGGTGGGCTTTTGAAGAGTTGGGAGACAGGCTTAGCCAGGTGCGATGACTTCCTAAGATTACTAGTAGCCTCGAAGTAATTAAGTAATGGAGAGAGAATTAAAATATAGGTTGTTAAATTCCAGTCTCTGGGCTCATTTTTATTTTTAATAACACTATTATAGATGTTTATAAATAAAATAAATTAAGGGAGAAGAAACCGATTTCTTCATCAGAGTCAGAGAGTAAGCGCCATACTCTGATTAGAGACCTTTGAATAGATACCAGTCCAATTTAACTTTTAAAAACCCCATCGTTTCATGTTTCTTGCAACCTTTCTTCTTTCGGGGTCTTTTTTGTGGACTGGGGTCATTTTAGCCACACCAAATGGTCATCGACTATCAGAGCACCCCCACATCCCAGAAATGAGAAGGAGTCTTCCCTCCGTTACCCGGACAGCTCACTGCCATTGAGTGGATGCAATGCATCGTGACCTTACAGGACAGAGAAGAACTGCTCCTTGGAGTGAGCAGACCACCTCATTTTTCTCCCCGGGAGCTGCTGGTGGGTTCAAACCGCTGGTCTTGCAGTTAGCAGCTGACTGCATAACCCCACGGCATCACCCAAGCTCCCTGTTAAAAACCTGAAGTTGTTAAACATTCCCCAGTGAAACAGGCAAGAGCGACTGGAGACAGGGCTCTTTGCCCACCTCCGATCTGCCAAGGAAGGCAAGGAAACCAATGTTTCCCAACGGCCTGCTCCTTGCCAACTTCCTAAGTGCTTTGTACGCCCCGTGTAATCCACACAACCACCCCAAGAAGCAGGTATTCTATCCCTGATTTTGTAAAGGCATCTGAGGCAGAGGAAGGTTAATCACTTGCCCAAAGGTACCGGCTTATTGAAAGGCAAAGCCAAAAGTTGGCATCTGACTATAAAGCATCCATATCTTCCCTGGTCGATCAGTGCAGGGAGCACTGTGGGTGTGTGGTTACCACTCACCTGCTAACTGAAAGGTGTGAACCCCCCAGCCCTTCTGTGGGAGTCAGGTGTGTCCATCTGCTACAACAAGACTGGTGTTAGATTCCGTCATCAGGTCTGACTCATTGCAACCGGTGGGCAGCAGAAGGAAACCCTGCTGGTCTGCACGTCCTCACGTTCCCTGCTGCGTTTGAGCCCACTGTTGCAGCTGCAGCCATGCGTCCATCTGTCTTGTTGAGGGTCCTCCAAACCTGCAGTTCTACCCTGCTGCACAGAGTGGCTATTGTTAGGATCCACTCGTGAAGAGATTACTGAAGAGCCGTATAACCATGGCCCCACACGTGGAGTTTACTTCAAGTGATAAGCATTAGAAAGCCCCAAAGAATGTTGGGAGGGGGAGGAAAGCCTGGGAGTGAGGCTTCCTTGTATCTGGACCATGTCCTGTATGTGCACTTTCTTCTCCACCTCGAGAGCACCGAGCCTGAGGGTTTCTGCCCGCGCTGCAGACGTGTGTTATAGATGCCCGTGT